CTCAAAAGTTCCGCATTTTAGACATGGAATTCACTAGACTTCAGACGCCTGCAAACTCTCGATTGCTCTCCTTAAAGCTACGATCAACTGGACTACATTCTGTGATCCGAAACTAAAATTTCTGCACCGAAAAAAAGTGAAGTTGATTTAACATTCTGAATGTAAAAAAAGTGAGCAAAAACTCACAAAATGCTGAATAACCCGTCATGGCAGTTACTTTTACATCTTGACATAGCTAAAGTAACTGCTACATCGGTTAAGTCAGCGTTTTGTGAGTTCTTACACAATTTTTTTACATACAGAATGTTAAATCAACGTCACTTTTTTTTCGGTGTATCTAAATCATGTGAATCGCCTATCTGCAAAGGGAAACTAACGGCACGAACGTTGTTTTTAAAAGCCCGGAACAGCATTTGCTCACAGCAAAACGAATTTCAACTGTTGATCACTCAACACGTAGGTAGTGCACCCGAGGAAGAACCACAGGTTATCGAACTAAAATCTCGGGCATCCAAAGCCAAGCTTGGACCCAGCGAATCATTAACCACACTCGAAGAAGTTCCCGAGGTTGGGTTTTGGGAATCACATCACGTTGATGAGTTAAGTACATTTAATGAGACTTCGTGTGGACATTCGGGAGGGAGGCAAGAATAGGGAGTGCTCATTGGGGCGGCTTACGCTCCAAGAGGCCAGGGCAATAGTCAATAAGGAGGAAACTCTAAACCCTACTAACGTCCCATCTTCATCTTTATTCTAGGCCCATTCATATTTTCGCTTCAAATGAACACGGGACCTCGAGCCATGTTGCTTGTTTTCCTTCGATAGTCAGAATTTTTCATCTTCCTGAGAATTACGTTTGTATTGGCAGAATGCCTTTGCTCAATAAATGAAATCTAACGATAAGACGAACAGTATGTAAAAACTGTTTATACATCATATCATTTACCTATTATCGCTTATTATTATTTGACGTTTTTGTGAAGCCAATATGCAAAAAAAAGCAAAAGAATAAAAATATTTTTATTATATTATTATTACGTCATAACAACGTTGAAAATGTAAAAACGTGAATCTCAGTATGTGACGCTGCGGTTTACCTAACGTAATTTACTTCATTTTAAACCGAAAAATACCTAACGTCATTTCTTGAAAACTTTCTGAGTTTTTTTTCTCTGCGTGAAGAATATGTTACAAAAATATCAAGCAATAGATTGGATTTGGTCTCATTTGATAAAATAAAATAGGATCGAAGATTCTGAAACGCCAAAAATTAGATTCGCGTTTTTGCAGTTTTGCCGTTTGTAGATAAGAGCATTTGTGCACAGTCAAATTTCCACCGTGTTAAGGAAAAATAGCGTAAAAAATTTCGGACGTTGCCACACTTCCATCTATGAGAACCTTCCTTGGAAACTATAGGAAGTGCGAGTGAAGTTTCTTAGAGAGCAAAATAATCGTGTTAAAGCAAATTTCTTTGTGGTGAGTTAATAAAGAAAGACACGTGTTCTGATGGCTTAGTTTTGAGTTTTTCATTCCTGAAGTCAATTCTCTCGTGTTGGATCATACATTTGTACTTAAAGTTTTCCAAAGGATAAATATTTTGTCTTGAGAAATTTTGCAATGTTGGAGGGTTCAAACGTCGTTTCTTTCTAGCAAGGCAACGCAAGGACCGTGCGTTTACTTTTCCGCTACTTAGAGGTTAAGTTGGTGGCTGTCAGATTATAGGAGTATTCACACTGGCAGCCCACTTCCCGGAGGGACCCGAATAAGATTCCGCAGTTCGACGACATGGCCTTTTATCTGTTTAAATACTCCGTAAGAGCCTTTGCGAGAACCTCGGATCCAGCGAAAGGCACGTACGCATCCTCGGGCAAAGTTGTCGGCTTCTAGTAAGAATTTCCTCGTTTTTACATAGGTTCAAGAATTATACGTCGAAGGATAGACCATGTAAAACTCGTATCTCCACACGATAGAATTAAACATTCACTTTGTTGATTCCGGTCGACTTTGGTTTCATGCATGGGCGAATAGGACGTTTGAATGAACTGAACGGAAAAAGCTGATTTTGCAATTGAATCAGTGAGAACGAAAACATACCAACTCGGTGACTCAAAAATGTCCAATTTCCATTAAAGACAGTTAATTTACATAAAAGTCATTGCAGTTAGCGCATCTGTTCCATCTTGGACCTTTAAAGTTTCCACAAGTACATGTCTTTCGGCAGCAAAAATCTTTTTCTTAGACTTACTTCTTCACCTACTGTGCAGTTTTGTGTGTGTCTTGATTTTTTTATTTTTCCGAGTTGGTGTGTTCCCGTTCTCACTGATCTAATTATGAGTTCAAGTTGGATATTTTCAATGTGGCCACTGATGCATTCTTGATAAGAAGGCACCTATTCTGCCGTGATGGAGAAGAGAGCAGTAAGTGTCAAATTTTCGAAATCGAGTTTGTCTCAAAATTCGTCTAATCTCTAATAGATGAAACCACTGAAATACTTAGCTAAAACAGTAAAATTCATCTCAATTGTATAAAAACGAGACATACCTACAAGAAAGCCGTAAGTGCGCAAAAAATGACGTAGTTACAAGCAAGACAGCAGTAAGTGACATTATTTCTTGAGAGAGCCTATGAAACAGTATGCTTCCAAGTAAAAAGCCGCCTTCTTCTGCCGATTTCTAACCTGAAAATGTGTTTGTTGTGTGTCCAAAACGCAACCACTAAAGCTTGCAGAGGACAGCACTCTGGGCCGGATTTACTTCCTTGCCGCCCATGTGCCGCCTGTGTTTTGCCGTCCCCTCCTCATTAGGTTTGAAATATCAGTAAATAAAAACCGTCGAGTGAACGTGCCGGTGAGGGAGGGGTGCATAAGACTACTCGTGTTGAACACATTTTTTGCGAAAGCCCTGTCAACCCTCCTAGAGAAAGTTCACGGAACTTTGCGCGAAAGTTAAGTTTTGTAAACCTATCTCTACAAGGCCTTCCATTCGTATAAGGAATGAACGTAAAAATTATGCAAGAACAAACATAAATGTGGTTTAATAATTTTAACTTCCGCCACCACGCCGCGTTGACCGCACTGTGTTTGACGCAATGCGTGAAGTATTCATGCAGTCTTGTAGGCGCTAATAAGTGGACATGCCTACCGCTGCGCCGAGGGCTTCTCCTTTTCATATTAAGTCCTCGTCATCCTTGCTCTCTGCGCCACGCCGTTCCAGGCCGAATCGCGTGTTTGATTTCTCTCCGAACTCGACTAATTAAAGGTTCTGTCTCTTGTATCACCGAAAGACGACAAAATTAGAAATGACTGTACTCTCACGAAATGAGACATTTTGCCGCCTTTTCTTGTTTGTAATTGTATTATTGAATCCGATTATTTTTAATACCTACGTTTTTCCACTCACTGCTCTCTTTGCTAGCACGACAGTATTATTGATTTTTGACCCTGAGGTATTGACGTCTTTGGTGCCACTTGAGGCGTATTTTGAGGTTGCCTATACCGCTGAAAACTATGTAGCATGCCGATGCTATTGGGACAGAGTCCGATACGGCGGGAGGAAAAATGTTTGGAGAAGTAATTTTCAGGATGAATAAAGCATCAGGGAGAAAAAGTTTCCCTCAAGTTTAATTAAATAAGTCGGTTATGCTAATTTGCAAAGTTCTCACGCGGCGGCGGCGGCATGCCGGAGAAAAATTAAAGAAGCTTCCGAGCCGCGAAAAAGTTTCCGGAAAGTCATTTAGATGTATTATTCCCTTGATCAGACCCAAGTATTTGACGGATAAGGTCTCTTTCATCACGCCTTAAGTCGGGGATCCAGGGTCCCTGCTTCCGTGCAGTCAATCACATACCTCCATTTTGCCCTTTTGTTTTTACTTCTCCGATGACGCTCATCGGAACAATGCATCTCATCGTCTTTTCGGATCTCTAGGAGGTGAATCGGTAATGGAAATGGATATAAATGCACGTCGATTCCGACGTTTCGAAGCTTCTGCTATTGGTTTATTTTTTTTTGGGGGGGGGGGGGGAAAAAANCGGGGGATTTTTCGTGGGAATTAAAATATTCATTTGTCTCGGTGATGGCACACTGAAAAAAAAAAAAATGTGTAGAATTTACCATTCCTTCACGCTGTATTTCACACAGCGCACAGTGAATCGAGACAATCAGAGAAGTCGGACATGAAATTTTTGACCTTCACTGCAAATTTTGATGTTTATTTCGTCTTATTTCCAATTTAAAGGGGTGCTTCCAGAAGAAACTTTCACGAGAAATTCAATGGAACCATTTTTAGAACCTCAAATTTTTTATAAACGGAGTTTTAATCTTTTGAAGTTTCCAAACTGTGTCCGAATTCTACCATTGACTCGGTCCAGTGTGCAGCGTGAAGGAATGGTAAATTCTACCGATCTTCAAGTCGATTCTGCCGGAGGAATAGTTACCTGTACCACTTTATAGTAACGTTTACCTTTCTTCTGGCAGAATTGATTCTGAATTGACGCTGTGTGAAATGCAGCGTGATGGAATGGTAAATTCTACCAATCTTTTTTTTTTTTCAGTGTAAAAAAATATTTGTGTTCTTGCGTTATTTTCGATGGACGTTGGAGGAGAACTACAAACTAGCCAAAAGTTTCGGCTAAATGCCAAAAGCTTCGATTATTTTCTACACAACTTGTGTTGATTTTGACACCCAAAACATTGAAATTTTTGGTTGAATGTGTTATAAAATTTCACTGAATTTTATCGGCAGCACAAAGAAAATTCAGTGGAATTTTCGGATAGCTTTATTGAACAATTTCTCTGTAAAAAATAAAATGGCGGCGGAAATTTTTAAACGTCGCATGGCGCTTGTGATACTTCGGCCGGAAGGTGACGAGATCCATTATTGAATATTGAGTCATTATCCTCAATGCATCCTGATTGAAATATTCCGATGCTCGTCGAATGCTCGAAATCTGAAACAGTCCACAGACGAAACCGGAACATTGAAGAGGAAACGTGGGTACTCACCAGTACGTAAAAAAGCGGAAGACACCATGCGGCAATAGCGTGGCGCAATTTGACGGATATCCTGAGACAAACATGAGCGCAGTTGACGAGGAGCCAAATGCCTGCAGTCATATGCAAATAGTGGAGCGCCAGTGCGACCCGCGCGCATTGTCCGGCGGTACTTGTTGCCTGAAACAATCAATCGCCGATCCAATATCATTTCCTTGTCCCTCATTTACATGTCACACAAGCTAAATAGCTCAAAGAGCCAGCATCAAAGTCCGTCGTGTCGACAGTGTCGAGTGTTTACCCGTTCATGAAGGTACCCCACAACGCAATTCTCTGCCCTAGGCTCTAGGGGCGAACCGTGTTGACGTAGCACTAGGCCCAGGCTCAGATCCTGGGGTCAAGGCTCGGTGTGAAAGCCTGAGCCCGCAGATGTAAGATTTCAGGATGGTTATTTTTGAATTTTGTAAGTTTTAACACAAATATGTGTAAAATGTTGAATTTGCGATTTTGATCGATTTCATTTGATTTTATTTTCCCTAATTAATTTTCTGATTCGTGGCTAAATGGCCATTTGAAATGGCTAATAAAACTTGTTTTATTAAGGCACCACCTTTTTCCATTACTGTCATTTGATTGGTCTTGCAGTTTTTCTTCTTCTTTTTTCAGCGAAAACTGTCCCGAAAAATTGAGATTTTGCCAGTATTGAGATGACTTTCAAAATTCTCAACATTTAGTTTGTGAGAGCTAGTAAAGAAATGAAAAATTTTGGCCAACTTGAACAGTTCTAGCAAAATTAACCACTCAAAATCTAAAAACTCTACAAATGTTTTCTTTGGTATGTCTCACTTTTTTTGTATCGAAAAAACATCGTGTTTCTTTGAAGGGACCTGATTCCAAAGCTATACTGTTAAATTTAAGTGACAGCGCGTTAATTTGTCCGTTTGGTGATGTTTTGTTGAAAATCTCGAGTTACAATGAGTTACTCCCTCAGTTACAATGTCAACCAGACAAGGCTTTCCCCAGGAAATAAGCAGATTAACTCTGAGTAAAGGCTATCGGTCCATTGAGTTTTGGACGTCACTGGAATGAAGTTCGGATGATTATAAACTTTGCTCTCAACGTTGGAAAAAAGGAGAAATAAACACGAAGTGAAGTAACCGACAAGCCTACTTGTAGTAGGAAAGGCGCATACAGGGTTTTCTCCCCCACTACACATAGCCTCTTTGATATAAGGCTAATTCGAAGCTCAGCACTCAAATGATGCCAAATCACTATTATACGATGGTTAAAACTTCGATTTTAAAAGAACAAAACTTTGAGTAATACGGCCCAGAAAAATTTTCCGTTTAGTGAACATATATTTTTTGGGTTGTAGGAACGAAACTTCGATTTAGCACAGAGGGTTCAGTACTGCGGGGCCTCCCCTGGCAGAAAATGTGTAGGATGCCCGGCCAAATCTTGGATGAATGGTACCCACAACAGAAAATTCGGAGGTGTAATACAAGATTATACACCGAAAAAAAAAGTGATGCTGATTTAACATTCTAGACGTGAAAAAGTGTGCGAGAACTCACAAAACGCTGAATTAACCGCCACAGAAGTTAGTTTTACATCTTCACATTGCTAAAGTAACTGCTGTGGCGGTTATTGCAGCGTTTTGTGAGTTCTCGCACACTTTTTTACATCCAGAATGTTAAGTCAGCATAAAATTTTTTTCGGTGTAATGAATGATGTATTGAAAGTTAGGTTACACAGAAAAAATTAAATTGCTGATTTAACAATTCAATCGCTAAAAAAAGTGACTGCAATGTTTCAATGTAGATTTTTTTACAACAAAAAAATACTACTTTAACCACCCCCGTGGTTAAATCAGCTTACAATAGTGGTTAAAGTAGCATTTTTTTGTTGTAAAATCTACGTTGAAACGTTGCAGTCACTTTTTTTTAGCAATTGAATTGTAAAAACAGAAATTTAAATTTTTCCGTGTAAGTATGAAATCGTAAGGGGAGGGAGAATTTCGCCTCGCGTTATTTTTGTCACGTTAAAGTAACATCAAAGATATAAATCATCAGAATTTTTGAAGAAGTTAGACAACGGAAACCTTGTTATAATACCGTTTCCCTCTTTTCCGATCATATTTTCTAGGTGGCGTCGTCTGTTTGCGGATAACGAGAGACAGCTCGGAATATTTTCCTCCCACTCTAAGTAAGATGACAAGTACACCGCCGCATTTCTTCTTCGAATTCTAAATGCAACCGCTTGGAAATTGTTTTGTCATAAACAAATACCTACTTAATTCACAGGGAAGAAAAATGGTTCCTTTGTCTCCGCAATTTATGCGGAAGAAAATGTGATCGATAGCGGCGTTCTGTGCGTTGGATTTTTGTGTGGTGTCACTTCTCGTCGTCAAATTAAAATTGCTGAGCAGTAATAAGGGCACGAAACAATTTAATTTGAATTTCTCTCGAAAATCAAACGCAAAATTTATCATCCACGCCTCAAAACGTGGAGTTTTTGTTAAAACCCTCGCCGTTGAAGAGGGAAAAAGTATGACAAAAGAGCGCACTGTTTGAATAATTCTTCTATACTCTCTTTTCAATTAGATCAATTAGAAAATCAGCAGTATGTAATAAAAAATTTGTTAAGCTAGGAATAGTCATGGTATTGGATGAGATATGAGCTTTAAATGCAGATATTTATTATTTTTCAACTTCAAAAGTTTGCACAAGAGTACAAAAATAAAAAGCACACTGCAAAAGTTGAAAGAAAAAACAGACTGACAGGCTTCGCCATCAATATGAATACTTAATATCAATCGAAGTCATTAATGTGTACGAGTCGAGTTTCATAGGATTAACATCGTAGTTGCGTTTCTAATTGCAAGAAGGTAAAGAGGAAAGTTTATAAAGTAATACTTCAAGGTACTTTTTGTTTTTTGTTTGTTTGTTTAAACAGGTTTTTTCCTTTGTATACAAGTCTTCAAAATTGGAAACTTCAGTCATCACAAGACTAGCGGAAAACAACTTAAGTAACCTATCGCCATGCAATCAATGGCTAATGCAACTAAACTAACGTCCCGGAGCGCGTATTGCCTATTCGATAAAACGAAGGCGTTTTGAGCTCCATGCGCCAACCTAAGTTTCTGCTCTTAACCTCTAATTTTAAAGAAAATTCTGGCACTAAGAAAGTGAAATAAAATGAAGCAGACACTACAATTTTTACTCATATTTCTTTTATGTGTGGTCATCCACAAGAAAACCGAACCCAATCCCCAGACGCAAATTTGTAAGAGGGGAATATTTGTTTTTCAAGGTTCGTCCAAATATCGGAAATTGGATTCTTAGCGAGAAACGCTTTCTGGCACACCGAAAATTTTCACACCGGCAATTTTCTAGCTATTCAGATCATCGTTGTGGCCCTGGAGGTAGCTAGGTTGTTTTAATTTCACAACTTTGACCTCTAATATTCAGTGATCAACTTTTCATAACTTCAAGTTAAACTAAGGGATTTCAACTGCAAACTTCAGGTATAACTTTGGTTTGGTTTGTTATTTTTGGGTCATTGATATGAAGAAATGACCGCGAAAAACTTACATTCTTCTTCTTCTTCTAACTTCTAAAATTTATTTCTTGTGCAATACTATAAATATGTGTATCTTCCTCTATACGCCATAAATAGTATGCTGGACGTCTCAATTCTGAATTTTATGAACATTGTATCGTATCTTGAGTGTGGTCATGAACAAAAAACCACCCAGGAATGACGTCAGGCATTTTTTCCGAGTTTTTGACCTCTGCCTCGCCCCGTCCTAGCTCGATTTGACCAACTTTCACGAAATTGGACCAAATTTGGTAAAAAAGAGGTGCTGAAATCAATCATGTAATCCAACGGCCGGCAAGTTTATCCGGCGGTATTGTTCTCATTGTGGGCTACCGATCAGAATCCGTAGAGTTTTACCTTTGTTCTTCTTTAAGATTGCAGGTCATACTATCTGCTTAAGTGAAACCAAACGTAGAAATGTGAAAACCTTTGCTCCTAAATATGTTTTTATTCCCCCCTTCCTTTTTCATAACGCACACGCGTGGATTAGGAAGAGTTTACAAACCATGACGTAACACGCTCCCAGTAAACACGTGGATTTAAAAAGGGGAGAGGATCCTCTGAATCTGCCAGTAGCTCCGGCGAGTAGTGTATTCCTAATGCTTCGGAAATATTAAAAGCTAGAACCCGGCGGGGGCGGGGGGTGGCCGAGAGGGCGGGGGCGGGGGTGGGCCGAAAGAAGAGGAAAATTGTTTCTGCTCCAATTCTTTCGGCGTCTTTGCTTTAAAAGTTTTCCCAGTTTTCCCTTTTCCGAATTTGCTCGCTTCTTGTTCAATGTTCGCCTCTTTGCCCACTCACTCGCTCTGGCGCTCACAGTACGCTCCTGCTCCTGCTGCACACTCGCTTAACCCGACTTCCTCCCCTCCCCCTTCTCCCATGCATGCTCCCACTGATGCCGCGTCGGATGACGATACTCCTACGGGAACTGTCTATCGATGGCAGCGGCGCGGCGTGCTTTGCGATGTATCGATTGATCTGCCATTCAAACCTACGGAAAAATATCGATAAACAGGGTGTTCGCAACGAACACTTTAATAATCGATTCTTTACTACAGCTTCAACTGGGGAAATATCGATAATCGATCATTGATGCCTCGCCACTGATCGATGGGCTTGCTCGCTGATTCTTGTATTCTCTGTGTGGTGTCGTTCATAAAAGACGTTTTCCAAATGGTTTGACCTCCCTGCAGGCCGATTTTTGGAATTGATAGACAAAGCTACGGACGAAAAAGACATAGGGAATTTGGAGCGATCCTATTGGTTGAAACGGATGGTTGCTATGGAGAAAGGAGGTTAGAGATAGACTATTTAACGGCAATCGACAAGAAACCCTAGAGTTAGTCCGTCATTTTCCCCTTAGTCTATAGGATCCACCCATTTCAACCAATAGGATCGCTCCATACCCCCCATGTCTTCTTTGTCTATCGTTTTGTCTATCAATTTCAACAAATCAGCCCGCTGTAACCCTTTTGCCCTGCGAGCTGATTATAGAAATTGATAGACAAAGCTATGGACAAGGAAGAAAAATTAAAAATAAAGCGATCCTACTGGTTGAAACGGATGGTTGCTATGGAGAAAGG